AAGAAAGAAAGAAAGAAAGAAAGAAAGAAAGAAAGAAAGAAAGAAAGAAAGAAAAGAAAGAAAAGGAAGGAAAGAAAGAAAAAAAGAAATGAAGGAAGGAAGGAAGGATGGATGGATGACAACAAAAAGAGTCTGCAAACTATAAGCCAATGAGCTTGAATTTAATTCCTGGAGAAATTATAAAACAAATCATTAAAGAGATTAGATAGGAAACATTAAGAAGCTTTTGATAAAGTAACTCATACTATATTGTGGAGAAGATAGAAAGGTGTGGACTAGACAATAATGCAATGACATGGATTAAGCACTGTTTGGATGGCCCAACTCCAAGGATAATGTTTGATGGTGGTTCAATGCCAATACGGCAGAAGTATCGAAACTGGAAATCTTGTGGAAGTAAATGTTGAAAACTAAAAATAAATAAATTTTTTTAAAAAATTAAAAAAAAGAAGTGTCCAGTGGAGTACATACACCAGACCCCAGGTCACAGCCCTGTGATACTTTGCAAGGTAGGGATGGCATACTCATCAAATCTACAGGTGACACAAAGCTAGGAGGGATACCAAACGCAGTGGATGACAGTCACGATCCAAAAGGAACTTGACAGATACTAGAGCATTTGGCTGAATCCATTATGATGAAATTCAACAAGGATAAACTTAATGTTGTGCACTTAGGTATCAAAAATCAACTTAAACAGGGAGATTAAGATGGGATAGGCATGGTTAGACAGCAATTGTTAAAAAGACCTAAAGGTTTGAATGGACTGCAAGCTTAATATGAGTCAGCAGTATGATGCAAGAACCAAAAAAGCTAATGTGATCTTACATGTAACTAAGTGGGAGGCACAGCTTCCAGAAATAGGGAGATAAAGGGGTCGCCCTTTATCTGAGACTGCCTATAGGTTAGCATTTGTCAGACCTCCTCTGGAGCACTGAGTTCATTTCTGGGTACCATGGTTTCAACAGAACGTTGATAAGCTGAGAACATCCAAAGTGGGGTAATCAAGATGATGAAGGGCCATGTTCTATGAGGAGAGGTTGTAGGAACAAGAAACGTTTAACCTGCAGAAGAGAACACTTACCGGGTCTCAGGAGAACTTTCTTCAAGTATCTGAAGGGGCTGTTATGTGGAAAAGGGATTAAATCGGTTCTATTTGGCCCCAGAAGGCTAAACCAGGACTAAGAGTAGAAGTTACAAAGAGGTCAATTTAGGCTTGATGTCAAGAAAAACTTACTAACAATTAAGAGCTGTCCAGAGATGGGATGGGCTGCCTCAAGAGGTGGTGGATTCTCACTTCTGGTAGATATTCATGTACAGACTGGATGAACACTTGTTGGGGGCATTACAGGGGAGATTCCCTTTGTACATAGGTTGAACTAGATGACCACTTAGGTCTAGCTCTCAAATTCTGGGGTTCCCTAACCCTTCTATCTAGTCCCAAACAGAGGGTTTGAAACTACCTGGAAGTATCATCAGTCAGTCTGTCTTTCTAGTCTTCTTCCCAGCCACCCACTAGTAAGAGTAGCACCACCAGCAGGGACCACTAAAATCATGTCTATCCCTCCCCTTCCTCACTAGAGCCTCCACAGTCACATCAGATAACCAGAGCTTACCTACGAACCAGGATCCCTGAAGACAGCTAACTACCATGACAACATTCTGCCCCGCAAACAATCCAATTAGAATCTTTGGTCCAGTTAATTCTTCTTGCTCAAGGTATGATTGATCCAGTAAGCAATTTAATCACTTTCCCTTGCTGCTGCTAATACAACCCTCCCACCTAATTTCTCCTCCCACCCCTTATACACAACCCTTTTACAGTGTTGCCCACAGAAACTACATGCCTCTACTATTTTTTTTCCTGTACCCTTACACCTATTTGCACCAATTCTACTCCTCCCTAGACCCATTCTCCTTCTGTCCACTGTTTTCTTGATCTACTCATCATATCT